CACCAAAGGGTATGATTTACACTTCAGGCCTAACAGTTAAATATATTGCTCATAAAAATTCTGTCACACCTTTCAGTGAAAAAGGTTTATAGCTTTTCAAAAGTGGGAGTATTTTTAAACCAGCCAACTACAGGTAGCTAGGTATTAACCAATCAAGTGCTCCCTCTGTTTAGCTATTATGATAATGAATTTCTTGATTCTTGATCAAATTTTTCTGACCTTTTAAGCTCATCTGTAGTTTAATGCTCGACCAGAGAACTATGGAAACCACTTTTTCCGCTAATGAAAAGGCGTATTTTACAAGTTCACTACTGAACTGAACCTAAAAAGGTCAAAGTTTAACCCTTTGCTCATTTTTGAGCTGTATGACTGATACAGCTCCAAAAGGATGTGACAGTGGTGGTAAATTTTCTCCCATATATCTGTACACGTATTTATATGGGAGAAACCAGTGTGATATTTCAGTTGTAATTGGATGCCATCCTATTAAGAAAGGGGGCATATTGAGGTGACATAATGTGTTTAATGAGTAAATTGTTTTTATAAAGCTTTACAACACTGTTGCAACAATCGTGGAGATAAAAATCAGTTCTATCTCTACAACAGTTGTATTCTAACCACAGAATACATACAACAGCCACAACTGTATACCTTATAGTGGGAAATTTATGAGAGTAAATTTTGGCAAATTGCTAAGTTTTAGGTGATTGGTGGATTTTAATTTGGCAAATTCGTGGCCACATGCCATTGAGCATGCATATAATTGCTGAAAATGGTGGATTTATTTTGATAAATTGCTATCAAAATGCCAACTTGCCAAAGTTAATTCCCTCCAAAATTTCCTGCTATACAGTACAAACCATATATACAAGATACATGTACCATATTTATTTCCTTGCAGGACAAAAAATTTGCGTAAAATAGAATTAAAAATGCCAAAACCTGGGCTCGATCCCACAACTCTAAGATCTGGAGACTCAGCTTAACAAATTAGGCCATTTAAGGTACATGTACAACGTGTACATGTAGCTTTTAGCATCTGGTATACATTGTATCTTTAGTCTATTAGTCTAAAAATAAATTATGTCAAATTTGACAGTTTGAGCTCTTGCATGGATATAATCAATTTGAGCTAAATTGTCTTCCATGTTGGGTGGCAAGAATGAATTACATGAGACTATAAGTGGAATGGAGAGAATGGAGGGGAAATTCTGAATAAACTCTGCTGTTGACCTTTGAGGATAAAAGAAGGCACATGTATGTGACAAAAGTATTGAGTGAGGAATTCTCTATAATATTCTGTAGTGAAGTACGATATCTCGCTGATAAAAAATCACATTTTGTTTTATACCTCCATTTGTTGTGTACATTCTTGCCACTCAAGATGGCAGACAGTGTAGCTCCACCCTTAGGTTAATTACATTCATACAAGAGCTCTATACTTCAGCTGTCTTGAATATTGTACTGAGTATCATAAAGGAGCAGCTGGACTTTGTCGTCAATCCACTAAAGCTTTTACATCTCGGGCATTTTGATTATTGACTCAATAATTAGCTCTACATGTGTGTACTTCACACCCATTATTCAAATCATGCATTGCTTTGTATATTACCACAATAATGGTTGATATACATGTAACTGATTAGGAATAATTAATGAGATTTATGCTGCACTACTTGTAAACAGTAGTATGAGTAAACCAACTCTGCAGAGTTGGTTTACTCAAGCCCCATTTACTACTGTTTACAAGTACAGTGTGTCAATGTGCTGGTTTAGCCATGCACCCTGAGCCTACACTAACAGTTCTCTGTATAATAAATGCCATAGATATGCCCTCACCTCTTTTTAGAATCTCAAATGTTTATCACAGAAAAGCCTCAAAGATGTAGCTCTCAAACTCAAAGCACATGTAAGTTGGCCCTCTTAACTATATATTTATGTTATAATTACATACAGTAGGGGAATGCAATGTGTCTAATAAATCCACTTCACGATTTAATAGAAGAGATTTTCAGCATAATAACATCTTTTCACAAGCTTTTGATTTCTATCATGATAATCTTGTTGCTATTTTATCAGATGATCAGGCTCAGGCTCCTCTTGATCAATTTGTCAAATTAGTCACTTCAAATTTAATTATGCATCCTATAGAAAAGGAGAAAGCACAACGTAATTCAGGCTCAATCATCGGATGCAAGACTCTTATTAGTGATGTCTGGATGTTTATTAACAGAGCAAGTAATCCTGAACGTGCTTTACAAAGAGTCTTGTCAATTCTCATTCAAATTGTACGAGTAGCTGATATTGCTCGTAAAGTTAAGGCTAAAGGTATATGAAATGTGATACATTTTGTTAGTGTCAAATAACTTTTGTTAGCTCTAGAATCTGCTCAACCTGGGGTTAGATGCACTTTACTTTGTGAGATGAATTGTGAACTGAAAAACAAAGATTATGGGCCATCAGCAACTGCATGTGTGTCAGGTAAAATTATCTCTTTGATTATTATATTTATACTATAATTATACAGATACTCAAAATATTGTAGCTCATGATGATATAGTAGATACGTGCAGTTCAATCAAAAGATATGCTCGTAAATTGAAAAAGTATTATCAAGATTTGCATGCTGATCCAAAATGGTCCCCAGCTAAAGATATTTTGGAATATGTAGATTTGGTTGCTGTGTCTATTGAAAATGAATCAAAGAAAGAGTATTCACTTTTAGCTGACCTTTTCAATGTGCCATGTGGCTCTTCTGTCCTGATAGAGGGTATTCCTGGAATTGGAAAATCGACATTAGCCTATGAAATGTGCAAACGATGGGCAGATGGCATTGCCTTACAAAAATACACACTGATCTTACTTTTACGTCTTCGTGATAATGATGTTCAGTGTAACTGGTCACCAGATAAAGTTCAAAAGTTAATTGGAATATATCTCGATAAGCAGTCCTGGAAGTCTGAAGCAGTACAAAAAATATTTGATGGTGATGGTGAAGGTTTGTTGATAATTTTGGAAGGTTTTGATGAGCTACCAGAAGATAAGCCTTCGAATGTTGAGGTCCTTAGAGTGATAATGCGTGACATGTCTGAAGCTACAATCATTGTTACAACCCGTACGTCAACAACTCATGAATTGTCACACAATATTCGATTCAAAAAACACATTGAAATTCAAGGTTTCAATCAAGACAATCGAAACCGCTATGTGAAAACTTTTTTCAAAAATAACGACGAGCAAAAAAAATTATTTAAGCAATATATTGATAGATATCCAATAATTTCTGGGTGCCTTTATATTCCTCTAAATTTAGCTATACTTTTGGACGTATTTACAAATTCCAAATTTTCTAAATTGCCAAAAACAATGACAGAGTTGTACAAAGTGCTCATAAAAATGTTGATATACAGAGAAATGGAGAGTGAAGCACTAGCTAGCAAACTAACTCAAATTCAAAATTTGAGTGCAATACCTGATCCTGCTATCCAAGAAGCGTTTGATACCCTTTGTAAACTGGCCTATGAAGGTACTGTTGCTGGGAAAAGAGGCCAACAGCAATTAGTGTTCTATGGACGGGAAAAGTACAAAACCCTTGGATTGATGAAAAGAGAAGTGAAAGTTTTGCCAAATGAAGGAGGAGACATGTACGCTTACAGCTTCCTCCATTTAACAATTCAGGAGTTTCTGGCAGCATATTATATTTATAGTTTAAGTTCAAATGAAATACAAAAGCATTTCAATAAATACAACAACAGATACAAGATGTTTGTCACAATGCGCTTTTTGGCTGGTTTAACTGAACTTAAAGGAAAAAACCTTGTTACTGTACCTGATGAGCAAATATATTTCCTACATATTTTTCACCAACTCATGGAAATTAAAAATGAGGCGCTTGTTTCTCAAATATTAAACCAGCGAAAAGAAATTGAAGTATCACGTGTATCATCTGTTATGACTGAATATGATTTCTATGTATTAGGAAAATGCATAGGTTTGTCAGTTACTACTTGGAGATTTGGCTTCACATTAAGAGCACTAACAGATAAACATATGAAGATGTTGGTGTCTGGTTTTGAATCAGTGAAAGGAGTGATGGAACTAAGCAGCCACCCCCATGTTAAGCATATTGGTTTGTCTCTTAATCAACTTGGCAATGATGGTGTTTCCAGTGTCCTTAGCTTACCTCCGTTAATTTTAGGAACTATCTTTGAGTTGAATTTAAGAGCCACAACAATTAGTCAGGAGTGTTTACCTCATTGCATTCCAAAAATTGGACATTTTTCCAAACTGGAGACATTCTTATTTCATGACAATGAGTTTAAGGAAGGTGAGCAGCAGCCACTGATTGATAACCTCTGCAGATTAAAAAAACTGAAAAAGGTTTCCTTCTCTAATCTCAGTCCTGCAGAATGTGTTACTGTTCTAACAGACTCTCAGAGTATACGTGAAGTTGAGTTTTATGAATTATCATTGCCATCTATTGAAACAGTTTTAACAACATTAAGTCAATGCAAAACACTTGAGTGCATTGAGATATATCAAACTCACATCACAAGTGAAGTAGTAGGCAGAATGTCAATGCAATCACTACCTCAATTTCTCAGAGAACTAAAACTAAACAATTGTGCTATTGATTCCAACACTGCTTGTGTTATTCTTGATTCAGTTATACGCAATAAGAGTCCAGCTCTACAGATTCTTGATCTTGGGGATAATATCATTGATGACAAAGGTGGTTGTCACTTAGCTGATTTGATACCACTAATCATAGTTCTAGAAAGGCCCCTAAATAAAATTTTCCTTCATCACAACAAATTCAGTGAAATGACAATAAACAAATTAATTGATCAGCTGGCTTGGTATTATAAAGAAATGGTGGTTTATCTTTCGTTGCAATGGGAAGGAACTGTCAATCAGATCATTGGACGTTCACCGATTGATAAATGTGGAGCATTGAAACATTTTAAATTTAAACGTCCTGATATGCATTCATGCACTTCTACTTAAACTTATTAATTAAATATATTTATTACTGATTTTGTAGTTTCGACTATTTTATATTTCTTAAAACTAGTCAGGCAGGCTAAGCCAAAACTAGAAAGCTCAAACCAAGGTCACTTGAGTGATGATGTTCTGAAATGAGTGATAATTATAGATAGATCTAATGGTGCATTGGGTGTGGTCATATGCAAACTTCTATATAAGAA